GGGTCACTAGGACCTATGTGAGGTCTCCCTAGTGTTTTATTGTTCAATCCTCAGCAGAGAGATTTGCCATGGGGACAGGAAGTGAGGTGAAAATAAAGTGTGGCGAGGGGCTAGCTCCCCTGTCTGGTGCTTATTGCTGTTTGTGTCCCCAGTAGGGACTCTCAATATTTGCCGCAGTGACTACTATCCTCAGGGCTGAAAGTGAGGGAGAAATTGACATTTTGAGTTGCCACCAGAACAGGAATTGAGGGGAAATCTTCCAATGGGGGCACTTGATCCTGAGACACCTCTCTCAGAGGGATTTCCCCTCACTTCCTGTTGTTTCTACAAGACTGCTATCTGGGGCTTATTTAGAGAGATTTTCTCCTCACTTCCTGTTCCCGTTACTTCCTGTTCCGTCTTACCAGACAGGAAGTTAGGGAAACTCTCCAAAAACACCATCCTCAGGGCTGAAAGTGAGGGAGAAATTGACATTCTGAGTTGCCACCAGAACAGGAATTGAGGGGCACTTGTTCCAATGGGTGCACTTGTTCCAATGGGGGCACTTGTTCCCCTTACACCTCTCTCAGAGGGATTTCCCCTCACTTCCTGTTGTTTCTACCAGACAGGAAGTGAAAAGAAAAAACTTTAATGGAATATAGTTAGCAAAAAAAAAAAAATGTTAGCAGTAAAGAGATGACAATAACGCAACAGGCGCCTCCATTCCATGCCAGCAGACCCTTTGGTGAGTTGGATCAAAACAGGAATGGATGTCCCATAGGTGGCTACTGTGTGCGTACGTTTTCTGTTCTGTGTTTGCCTCCATCTTGTGTAGGCCCCAGGTAATCCCTATGAGTGGCCAGATGTAAACAAACGAGTGTCCACCTATGTATGCCCACATCCTCAAAAGCAGGCCTGGGTGCAAACGTATTGTGCTTGGTCACATGACCCTGAATGGACTCGGATGTAAACAAAGGCACATCCTGTTGTTTTATATGTGACCTGCATTCATCCAGAGAGGAAAACGCAGGTCACTGCTGATCGTGTGAAGGAGCCCTTTTACTTTCTCTAGTCAAACACGCAAAAAAAGTTTTGGCTTTTGGCACAATGCCCCTCTTATCTTCTGTAGACATTATCTTTATTGGGTCAAAAACATTGTTTTTTGGTTGCTAGAAACCTGCGCAGACATATGGAAAACATACAAACTCCATGCAGTGCCCTCTGTTGGAATGACTCCATGACCACAGTGGTAACCTCAGAGAGGAGTGAACCAGCCTGGTCAGTGATTGTATTCACAGCTGGCAGAACCTTTTACCATTCCTATTATTGTGATGGTGTTTTTTGTGACAAAAGGCACAGTTGTGCTGCTGTTAGTTGGCCTTTTCAGGGTTAAAACAGTAAGTTACATTACAGGCGACATACCACCTTACTGCTTGTCCAACGACCTCTGAAAACCAGTCGACCAGAGATCGCTTTTCAGAGGAACATCAAGCACTGCCACACGTGTGAACAAGCTTCTAGGCCGGCTTCCCATCTGAAGATCAGAGGCTGAGATGGTTGCTACTTTGGCAGTAAAGGACAGGAGGTTTAGTTCCGGTTGTAAGCTTTGTGAATTGAGCCTCTTGTGCTACAGCAAGGGTTCAAGCCATGTAATGAAGCATGCTGGGCCTCCGTTCTCACACACAACACAGTGGCCTGGCTCTGTAGAGGCCTGACACGCCCCCCCCCCCCCCCCCCCCCGCTCACAATTAATAGTACATGAGGGGATGGGGTGTGTGAGAGCAGCGGTCCGACTCCAGTGGAGGAGAAGCGTGTGTGAGAGCAGCGGTCCGACCCTCCAGTGGAGGAGAAGTGTGTGTGAGAGCAGCGGTCTGACTCTCCAGTGAGAAGTGTGTGTGAGAGCAGCGGTCTGACTCTCCAGTGGAGGAGAAGTGTGTGTGAGAGCAGCGGTCCGACCCTCCAGTGGAGGAGAAGTGTGTGTGAGAGCAGAGGTCCGACCCTCCAGTGGAGGAGAAGTGTGTGTGAGAGCAGCGGTCTGACCCTCCAGTGGAGGAGAAGTGTGTGTGAGAGCAGCGGTCTGACTCTCCACTGGGGAGGAGAAGTGTGTGTGAGAGCAGCGGTCTGACTCTCCAGTGAGGAGAAGTGTGTGTGAGAGCAGCGGTCTGACTCTCCAGTGAGGAGAAGTGTATGTGAGAGCAGCGGTCTGACTCTCCAGTGAGGAGAAGTGTGTGTGAGAGCAGCGGTCTGACTCTCCAGTGAGGAGAAGTGTGTGTGAGAGCAGCGCTCTGACTCTCCAGTGAGGAGAAGTGTATGTGAGAGCAGCGGTCCGACCCTCCAGTGGAGGAGAAGTGTGTGTGAGAGCAGCGGTCCGACCCTCCAGTGGAGGAGAAGTGTGTGTGAGAGCAGCGGTCCGACCCTCCAGTGGAGGAGAAGTGTATGTGAGAGCAGCAGTCGACCGACCCTCCAGTGGAGGAGAAGTGTGTGTGAGAGCAGCGGTCTGACTCTCCAGTGGGGAGGAGAAGTGTGTGTGAAGCAGCGGTCTGACTCTCCAGTGGGGAGGAGAAGTGTGTGAAGTGTCTCCAGTGTGTGTGTGAGAGCAGCGGTCTGACTCTCCAGTGAGGAGACGTGTGTGTGAGAGCAGCGGTCTGACTCTCCAGTGAGGAGAAGTGTGTGTGAGAGCAGCGGTCTGACTCTCCAGTGGAGGAGGAGAAGTGTGTGTGAGAGCAGCGGTCTGACTCTCCAGTGGAGGAGAAGTGTGTGTGAGAGCAGAGCAGCGGTCTGACTCTCCAGTGGAGGAGAAGTGTGTGTGAGAGCAGCGGTCTGACTCTCCAGTGGAGGAGAAGTGTGCGTGAGAGCAGCGGTCTGACTCTCCAGTGGAGGAGAAGTGTGCGTGAGAGCAGCGGTCTGACTCTCCAGTGGGGAGGAGAAGTGTGCGTGAGAGCAGCGGTGAGGAGAAGTGTGCGTGAGAGCAGCGGTCTGACTCTCCAGTGGGGAGAGAAGTGTGCGTGAGAGCAGCGGTCTGACTCTCCAGTGGAGGAGAAGTGTGCGTGAGAGCAAGCGGTCCAGTGACAGCGGTCTCCAGTGGGGAGGAGAAGTGTGCGTGAGAGCAGCGGTCTGACTCTCCAGTGAGGAGAAGTGTGTGTGAGAGCAGCGGTCTGACTCTCCAGTGGAGGAGAAGTGTGTGTGAGAGCAGCGGTCCGACTCTCCAGTGGAGGAGAAGTGTGTGTGAGAGCAGCGGTCCGACTCTCCAGTGGAGGAGAAGTGTGTGTGAGAGCAGCGGTCTGACCTCCAGTGGGAGAAGTGTGTGTGAGAGCAGCAGGGTCTGACTCTCCAGTGAGGAGAAGTGTGTGTGAGAGCAGCGGTCTGACTCTCCAGTGAGGAGAAGTGTGTGTGAGAGCAGCGGTCTGACTCTCCAGTGAGGAGAAGTGTGTGTGAGAGCAGCGGTCTGACTCTCCAGTGAGGAGAAGTGTGTGTGAGAGCAGCGGTCTGACTCCTCCAGTGAGGAGAAGTGTGTGTGAGAGCAGCGGTCTGACTCTCCAGTGGAGGAGAAGTGTGTGTGATGAGAGCAGCGGTCCGACCCTCCAGTGGAGGAGAAGTGTGTGTGAGAGCAGCGGTCTGACTCTCCAGTGAGAGGAGAAGTGTGTGTGAGAGCAGCGGTCTGACTCTCCAGTGAGGAGAAGTGTGTGTGAGAGCAGCGGTCTGACTCTCCAGTGAGGAGAAGTGTGTGTGTGAGAGCAGCGGTCCGACCCTCCAGTGGAGGAGAAGTGTGTGTGAGAGCAGCGGTCCGACTCTCCAGTGGAGGAGAAGTGTATGTGAGAGCAGCGGTCCGACCCTCCAGTGGAGGAGAGAAGTGTGTGTGAGAGCAGCGGTCTCCGACTCTCCAGTGGAGGAGAAGTGTGTGTGAAGCAGCGGTCTGACTCTCCAGTGGGAGAAGAAGTGTGTGCGTGAGAGCAGCGGTCTGACTCTCCAGTGAGGAGAAGTGTGTGTGAGAGCAGCGGTCTGACTCTCCAGTGGGAGGAGAAGTGTGTGTGAGAGCAACGGTCTGACTCTCCAGTGGAGGAGAAGTGTGCGTGAGAGCAGCGGTCTGACTCTCCAGTGGGGAGAAGTGTGCGTGAGAGCAGCGGTCCGACTCTCCAGTGAGGAGAAGTGTGCGTGAGAGCAGCGGTCTGACTCTCCAGTGGAGGAGAAGTGTGCGTGAGAGCAGCGGTCCGACTCTCCAGTGTGGAGAAGTGTGCGTGAGAGCAGCGGTCCGACTCTCCAGTGTGGAGAAGTGTGCGTGAGAGCAGCGGTCCGACTCTCCAGTGGAGGAGAAGTGTGCGTGAGAGCAGCGGTCCGACTCTCCAGTGTGGAGAAGTGTGCGTGAGAGCAGCGGTCCCGACTCTCCAGTGGAGGAGAAGTGTGCGTGAGAGCAGCAGTCCGACTCTCCAGTGAGAAGTGTGCGTGAGAGCAGCGGTCCGACTCTCCAGTGTGGAGAAGTGTGCGTGAGAGCAGCGGTTCGACTCTCCAGTGAGAAGTGTGCGTGAGAGCAGCGGTCCGACTCTCCAGTGAGAAGTGTATGAGAGAGCAGCGGTCTGACTCTCCCGAGAAATCTCATTCGCTGCCACCATTATGTAGGCATTACTGCACTCAATCTTGGGGGGTCACACTGCAGTATATTCCATTGTTATATTTTTATTATTTAATGCTGCATTACTCCCCCCTGTTCATGTCTCTGACATACAGGCCATATCTATGAGAAGACATTACACACAACTACCCCCTTCACATCCTGCTCATACAACAACAGGCAGGAAAGGTAATAAAGCCGACCAATCAGAGCACGCTTCTTGTATGGACTCTAACTCCTAGCATGCCCCTGGCTCCCCTCATGCCTAGTCGAGACGGCTTCCCTTTTCCCGGTGGATGCCGGGATTTGTAGTTCCCTCCAGTTGTCTGCAAGGCGGCGCACTGCGTCCTTCAACTACAACCCCCGGCGTGCTTTGCGGCGGCCAGCCAATAGCCTCTGCTGTGCCCTCCCTGTAACCCGGCTTTGGATTAAAGATGGCGGACCAGAGTGAGACAGCAGCGGGCGAGCGGCCGGGGGAGGAGGAGAACGGACACGGACATTGCAGCGACTGCGAGAATGATGAGAAGCACAGCTCGAACCGGGGGTAATGTGCACCGCCACACCGTGGCCTCTAGGGAGGTGCTCTGCTCTGTCATTGTCACATGCCGTGCCCTGCTGCGCCTCGTGTCCCGCCTCTCTCGATGACTGATTGGCCGAACCGGCGGGAATGCCCTGTGCTGATTGGCTGCTGGTGCTGTCTTTCATGGATCAGTGTTTAACTCGAAATTAAAAGCTGAATGGTGTGATCAGGCTGGAAATGTATGAGGGTATTGTGATCAGGACCGGGCACGGAGAGGACGAGGACAGTGCTGGGCGCCTACCGCCATCCTGGGGGGATTAGGTGCCTAATACCTGGCCTCATTATGGCTGACATGTGATTATGTCACTCCCCTTCTATCCTCCTGTCATTGTTATCCCCTGACAACAGTCCTGGATCACCAGGGACAGCCCTGGGTCAGCAGGGTGCTTGTGTGGGGGGTATGCAGCCCCTGATTTACAGGAAAGTCCCTGTTTTTGGAGCTTTTTATATTATTTATATAAATACAGATATATATTTTTGTGTTCAAGTGCATGGATCCGATCATGGATCGAAATGTGAATGGATCCGATCATGGATCGAAATGTGAATGGATCCGATCATGGATCGAAATGTGAATGGATCCGTTCATGGATCGAAATGTGAATGGATCCGTTCATGGATCGAAATGTGAATGGATCCGTTCATGGATCGAAATGTGAATGGATCCGTTCATGGATCGAAATGTGAATGGATCCGTTCATGGATCGAAATGTGAATGGATCCGATCATGGATCGAAATGTGAATGGATCCGATCATGGATCGAAATGTGAATGGATCCGATCATGGATCGAAATGTGAATGGATCCGATCATGGATCGAAATGTGAATGGATCCGATCATGGATCGAAATGTGAATGGATCCGATCGTGATGGATCGAAATGTGCTTGCTTGTTTCTTGGCCCTAATAGGGAGGAGCTTGGGCTTAGGCCTGAAGCTGGACGTCAATGACTGCAGACGGAAGATTCCCGGCCCTGTAGCTGCATGTATATGAAGGGGTGGGAGTGCTTGTGACATCATTGACTTAATATGACCATGGGACCCAGTATGGTCACGGGGCCCTGGACCCAGCGGCGTGGACTCGGTATGGCCACGGGGCCCTGGAGGGTCAGGGGCGTGGACTCAGTATGGCCACGGGGCCCTGGAGGGTCAGCGGCGTGGACTCAGTATGGCCACGGGGCCCTGGAGGGTCAGCGGCGTGGACTCAGTATGGCCACGGGGCCCTGGAGGGTCAGCGGCGTGGACTCAGTATGGCCACGGGGCCCTGGAGGGTCAGCGCTTGGACTCAGTATGGCCACGGGGCCCTGGAGGGTGTGTGGCGTGGACTCAGTATGGCCACGGGACCCTGGAGGGTCAGCGGCGTGGACTCAGTATGGCCACGGGGTGCTAGGGGGTCAATGGCATGGACCCAGTATGGCCACAGATATCTCCAAACCTTATAAACAGTGGGCCAGATTACTGTCCTTCAGACCTTAGGGGGGGCGGACAGTGGCCAGTGACCATAGAAAATGCTCCAGTGTCAGTGGGAGTAGACAATGTCTCAGACTTGGTGGTCAGTAGGAGGAGGAATTGTGCCCCAGCATTGGTATTAGTTGGAGTAATAGTGCCCCATGGTTGTTGTCAGTGGAAGAAATGGTGTCTCGTTGGTTTCAGTGGAAGGGATAGTGCCTCATATCCATGGGAGTAACAGAGCCTTGTATCAGTTGAAGGAACAGTGTCCCAAGAGCTGGATAAAGGCAAGCAAGTTTGGAAACCACTACCCTAAGAGGGTCAATGGCATGGGCCCAATTTAGCCACAAGGCACTGGCAGGTCAGTGGCATAGGCCCAATATGACCCCAAGGCACTGGCAGGTCAGTTGCATAGGCCCAATATGACCACAAGGCACTGGCAGGTCAGTGGCATGGACCCAATATGTAAAATAAAACAATGTGCGCTATCAAACTTGTGAATTGGCTAATAAAATAGAGCCGCTGCAATGACCCTTAAAAGGTGATCCCACAATTAGATATATGTTTTATGGACCCAATATGGCCACAAGGCCCTAGAAGGTCAATGACATGGACCCAGTATGGCCACAAGGCCCTAGAAGGTGAATGGCATGGACCCATTATGGGCGCGAGGCCCTGGAAGGTGAATGGCATGGACCCAGTATGGGCACGAGGCCCTGGAAGGTGAATGGCATGGATTCAGTATGGGCACGAGGCCCCAAAAGGTGATTGGCATGGATCCAGTATGGGCACGAGGCCCCAAAAGGTGATTGGCATGGATCCAGTATGGGCACGAGGCCCTGGAAGGTGAATGGCATGGATCCAGTATGGGCACGAGGCCCTAGAAGGTGAATGGCATGGATCCAGTATGGGAACTAGGCCCTAGAAGGTCAATGGCATGGATCCAGTATGGGCACGAGGCCCTAGAAGGTCAATGGCATAGGATCCAGTATGGGCACGAGGCCCTAGAAGGTGAATGGCAATGGGAATAGGAGAAGGTCAATGGCATGGATCCAGTATGGGCACGAGGCCCTAGAAGGTCAATGGCATGGATCCAGTATGGGCACGAGGTCCTAGAAGGTCAGTGGCATGGATCCAGTATGGGCACTAGGCCCTAGAAGGTCAATGGCATGGATCCAGTATGGGCACGAGGCCCTAGAAGGTCAATGGCATGGATCCAGTATGGGCACGAGGTCCTAGAAGGTCAGTGGCATGGATCCAGTATGGGCACTAGGCCCTAGAAGGTCAATGGCATGGATCCAGTATGGGCACGAGGCCTAGAAGGTCAATGGCATGGACCCTGTATGGGCATGAGGCCCTAGAAGGTCAATGGTATGGACCTAATATGACCACACACGGCCATGTCCTGCCTGCAGCTTGTCGGCCCAGCAATGACTGCTTACTTCACAGTTTGGAGAAACTTGGGTTCAAACCAAACCAGAGCTCATTACTAGCTCTCTTTTCAAATAGTCATGTATGACAGCAGAGCATTTGATTGTAACACAGATGCAGATCATTCACAAGGCAGTCTAGGACCTGGTGGATGTCCAGGGTAGTAAACAGGAGCTTTCTTTGCACCTCATCCCCCTTTACCTGCTATGCTGGGTCTTCTTAAAAAAAACATACCCTCCCCTGCCCAGCGGATCCTGCATTAATCCGCCATTCTGGTGTCAGTCTGTGTCTCGTGCCGCCATCTTGGGCTCTGCAGCCAGCTGCCCCCTCCAGGTTTGGGCAGCCCGGCCTTTATGGACACAATACAGTTCCACCCCCACTGAGACAATTGCCCCACCCCTTGAGTTCACAGAAGCTCATGTTAGGCTTAGTGTACACTTAGTTTGCTCATTGAAAACAGACATCTGAGACGCTCAGGCGGTGAAGAGGCGATTTAACACCCTCGGTAGACGTCTCTAAAAAGCGATCTTCTGCAGATTGCTTTTCAGAGGGCAGCGCTAGTGTGAATCTAGCCCTACACATTCACTAATAAATCCTGTCTTTTTCATCGGTTAGTAAACACCTGCTGCAGTAACTCTGTGCACCTGGCTCATTATAGAGTCCTTATAGTAATAGGTGTTGTATGGGGAAGTAGGCTGGACTGCTGCTCTGCCAATGTGGAAGTGCCTCCCCCTCCCCCGGCAGACAAGTGTGTTTAGTGGGAACACAGCACTTCCCAATGCTTTGTCTTGTGCGGCATAAAGGTGATTTCCAGCATAAAGGTGATTTCAGCACTTTACCACTTCCCTTCTGTATGAGCCAGGCCAGGTCTGGGGACACCACCGCATACATCCGACTATTACACGTCCCCTTCTGTATGAGCCAGGCCAGGTCTGGGGACACCACCGCATACATCCGACTATTACACGTCCCTTCTGTATGAGCCAGGCCAGGTCTGGGGACACCACCACATACATCAGACTATTACACGTCCCTTCTGTATGAGCCAGGCCAGGTCTGGGGACACCACCGCATACATCAGACTATTACACGTCCCTTCTGTATGAGCCAGGCCAGGCCAGGTCTGGGGACACCACCGCATACATCGACTATTACATGTCCCTTCTGTATGAGCCAGGCCAGGTCTGGGGACACCACCGCATACATCAGACTATTACACGTCCCTTCTGTATGAGCCAGGCCAGGTCTGGGGACACCACCACATACATCAGACTATTACACGTCCCTTCTGTATGAGCCAGGCCAGGTCTGGGGACACCACCACATACATCACACTATTACACGTCCCTTCTGTATGAGCCAGGCCAGGTCAGGGGACACCACCGCATACATCAGACTATTACACGTCCCTTCTGTATGAGCCAGGCCAGGTCTGGGGACACCACCAGCATACATCCGACTATTACATGTCCCTTCTGTATGAGCCAGGCCAGGTCTGGGGACACCACCGCATACATCCGACTATTACACGTCCCTTCTGTATGAGCCAGGCCAGGTCTGGGGACACCACCGCATACATCAACTATTACACGTCCCTTCTGTATGAGCCAGGCCAGGTCTGGGGACACCACCGCATACATCAGACTATTACACGTCCCTTCTGTATGAGCCAGGCCAGGTCTGGGGACACCACCGCATACATCAGACTATTACACGTCCCTTCTGTATGAGCCAGGCCAGGTCTGGGGACACCACCGCATACATCAGACTATTACACGTCACCGACTTCTGTATGAGCCAGGCCACCACCCCATACATCCTATTACACGGTCTGTATGAGCCAGTATTACATTCTGTATGAGCCAGAGGTCTGGGGACACCACGGCATACATCAGACTATTACACGTCCATGAGCCAGGCCAGGTCTGGGGACACCACCGCATACATCAGACGACTATTACACCAGGTCTGGGGGACACCACCCTTCAGACTGTATGAGCCCTTCTGTAGAGCCAGGCCAGGTCTGGGGACACCACCACATACATCAGACTATTACACGTCCATCTGTATGAGCCAGGTCTGGTC